GGGGATGGCTGCACTGCATTGCAGCTGGGCAGAGGGAAATCTAAACTCCCTACAGGGCTGGGGTGGGGCCAGTTCTTCCTGTGGTATGTGACTGGAGTAGAGCAGTTATTTGTCTAATAGTTTTCAGTCCTGCTGCCTCTTTCCTGGTCCTTTGGCTAGAGGAAAAGGCTTTTGTTCTTTTTTGTCTGCGACCATTGATGTTTCCGGGTTGCCAGCTTCAAAAGCACCCTGCCCAGTATACACAAGGCAAAAAGAAAACCAGGGGATGAACTGCTATATCATTCTTTCAGTTGTGAGGTTTCTAATTGCTCTATGCTCTTCTCTCCACCTTTCAGAGTGTTCTTATGATTGTGTTATATGTAATATCTAGAGTTTTTAGCTATACTTAGTGGAAGGACTAGGAAGAAGTGTCTGTTCCATGTTGCCCCTGCCTCTCTTGATATTTGAAGCACCTAAGATAACCTAAGATATAGAATATGCAAGATGCTTCCATTTACCTCTTATAAAATTAGACAAGTTAGGAAAAAAGTGAAGTACAATTATTCTGAGAACAAAGTGGATTGGTTCTCTCCAGGTCATAACCTTACGTTCAGTTTATTGGTCTATACCCGCATCTTCTCTAAGTAGAAATTTAGATTGGAAAGTTAACTGGAGACAATAGATATTATCCTTGCTGATATTTCATGCTCACATATGATTATACACATTGTGATTAAAGAAATGAAAATGGGATAATTTGTTAGCTAGGAAATTACTGAATCCTTATCAAGACCCTGATGAGAATATTGAAAAAGTAACCATGGGGAAAATTGTGTTTGAAGTCACCCTACATACTTTCTGTGAGTTAATTATAATCATGAATTTTCATATGTACACAATGTACACATCTTTTTACTATTAAACATTTTTAAATAGGCAGTAATGTGGTCATTAACAGTGTTCCACTGTGTGATAAGGTCACTAGTTGGCCATAGCATTGTGTCACACAGTCATTTTAATTGAAATTCTTTTGGGGTTGGAGGGGGAAGGGATTCATCATGGTGGAAGAGTATCTGATGTTCAAATAATGTAAGTTGATTTTGAAGTTGTATTAGAAAATGGAAAATGTTACAAAAGTGCAGAGTATAAATAAATCAGAACTACCAACATTGTAACTATTTCAAAGTTACAAGGTGAGGCAGAGATTATCTGTATTTTCATTTCCTGGAAGATGTGAAGGATGAAACAGAAGCAGAGAAACACAATACTGCTGGGTTTAGTGCATTGGTTGCAAAATGCTCAGAAACTAATTATGAATATTTGCTGCCTTCAGCCATATTCTCATAGACTAACTTGTATTTTTCATTACTGATAAACATACTATTTAGAGTCTATACAGTTACTGAAATACCCTGTATTTGTAAAATCTAATATGTTAAAAAATAATGGGCTGCCTCTAAAATACATTTAAAAAATTCTTATTCAGAGAAAAGACTTCATACATATGGCCTTTTCTCACAATAAGCAAAGTGAAATTGTTTCTTTACTTTTGTAATAGTATCACTGAAACCTCCAGGCAAAAGTAATGAGAACATACAGAATGCAAAGAAATTAATCTGATTATTAAAAGTTGCTTAAATGTTACGAAACTGGTATTGCTTATAAATGATGTCTTAAATATATATTGTAGTCTTTAAACAAAGTAGGAGAAAATGAAAACTTGATGCTCGGAACTGTGATGGGCAGCTGGGGGAGAGCTTTATGCTTTGCCACACGTATAATTCCCAAGAACTGAGTACTCAAGGAAGGACCAAAGCTCAGCATTCCTTTTTTATTCTCTATTTACTAACATAAAAAATAGACACTGTAAAATTGCCTCACTGAGGCTTTGGGATCTTGACATTTCAATTTTAGCATCAAAAGTGTTTTGTGTATGAACACACTTTCCCTCTGAGTTTGAATTATTGACAAAGGAAATGTGACCATAACACGACTATAACTGTTTGCTTGTTTGATGATAACCTGGGGCCGAGGCTATAAAATTATAGTCTATAAAGAATCCTTTACATACTTTTCAAATGTTCTTGTGATTGATGAAGGTATTTAAATGCTGAGATTACAATGAGGGAAAACCAAGCTTTCACCAGTCACAGTCCAGTCAGAGAATCGGCTAAATTGCCCCTAAACTTAACTGCTTAAAATGATAAATGTTACTGAACCGGTTTGGCTCAGTGGATAGAGCATCAGCCTGTGGACTCAAGGGTCCCAGGTTCAATTCCAGTCAAGGGCATGTACCTTGGTTGCGGGCACATCCCAACTGGGGGGCGTGCAGGAGGCAGCTGATTGATCTCTGTCATTGATGTTTCTGGCTCTCTATCCCTCTCCTTTCTTCTCTGTAAAAAATCAATAAAATATATTTTAAAAAATGATAAATGTTTATTATCTCACACTGTATCTTGGAATTGAGAAACTGGGAGAGCCCAGGGGGTGGTTCTAGTTCCAGGTCTCTCAAAGGGAGGCAGTCAAGCTGTCAGTCAGGACTGCAATAACCTGACAGCCCAACTGGGGAAGGATCAATGTCCAAGGTTATTCCTATGACTGTCCAGTGGCTTCTGATCCTTGCTGGCCATAGGCTGGAACCTCAGTTCCTTGCCAGGTGGGCCTCTCCATAGGCTATATGAGTATCCTTATCCCAACAGCTTTCTTTTACCGAAGTGTGTGATCTGAAGGAATCCCCAGGAAGAAAGCCACAGTCTTTTATAACCTAATCTTGGAAGTGATACACCATCATTCTGCTTTATTGTATTGGTTACCCAGCAAAACCATGGTACAATGTGGGAGGGCACAAGTCAAGGTTGTAAATACCAAGAGGTGAGGCTCATTGGGGGGCATCCTGGAAACGGGCTACCATGGGTCCAGAGCAGATTTGTAATTTGGATTCACCTAGAATGTGGGTTAAAGTATATATCTTCTAAAAGCCATTGTCTGATCTTGAGAAAAAAATTACATCTGAGTCTACTAATCATCATACAGACACATCCCAAGGGACAAATGAAAAGTTGCTGACACTGCTCTGCCAAAGTTACATAACCTCAATGTAACTCTACTAAGTAGTATATTAAATATACTCAGCAATAACAGTTCAACCCTTAGTCACACTTTTTATGGGTAACAAGGTTCAAATTTAATTTCAAAAGTATGTATGACCTCCCCTGGCTGCTGTGCTCAGTGGCTAGAGATCTGGCCCGAGCACTGAGGGGTCTCGGGCTTGATTTCCAGTCAAGGACAAGTACCTGGGTTGCAGGTTCAACCCCTGGCCTGGTTGGGGGTGCATGCAGGAGGCAACTAATCAATGTGCTTCTCTCACATCAATCTTTCTCTCTTTCTCTCTCCCTCCCTTTCCCCTTCCTACTTTCTCTAAAAAAAAAAAAAAAAAAAAAAAAAAATCAAAGAAAAAAGTATCCTTGGGTGAGCATTAACTACAAAAATAGTATATATGGTCTACAGTATAGCCCTAGGAGGGTAAAATATACAATGAAGTAATAGAAAATAGTATGCTCTCACAAAAAGCTAGGTGATTACCAATCCTATGCATTTAGACTCTATGAATAGAGTTTTAAAACCTAGGTATGAAAAGATGGAAAACAAGAGACCTCTCAGCTTTCTTATTTCCCAGCTTGAATAATTTAATTGGATTTTATAATATCAGTAAGGAATCAATGACTGCTTTTAGCTTTCTATTTTGGGTGAAAAATAAGTCACTTTGAACACTTCTGGTAGTAAATTGCCAGGCAGAGATACAATCATTAAACATTACTGTATATAATTCTTGGGTTTTTGTAAAAGAAATTTCAGATAGTTTTCAATTTAGGAAAGTCTTCTGAAGGGCTTCATATAAATCAGCTGCTTAAAACTCACAAACCATAAGATACCCGACCCAGGAAAAGCAAATAAAGAGTGGTAGGGCATAAATAGCTCTACTGAACTCACATGCACAACTAAATAAATAAACAGCCAATTTTAAACCTAATAGAATTTTTAATCATTAAATAAGCCATCTGACTGGGCTAGGGCCGATCTGCAGGCTAGAAAGGCTGTTTCACTGGCAGAGTCGTGGCAATCGATGACTTCTTCCCTTTCCTAATCCTGCAGGTTATTTATTTTTACATCTATCCTCTGCCCTAGGCAAGGTATACCCTAGTCAGTGATGGCGAACCTTTTGAGCTCGGCGTGTCAGCATTTTGAAAAACCCTAACTTAACTCTGGTGCCGTGTCACATATGGAATTTTTTTTTTTTTGATATTTGCAACCATAGTAAAACAAAGACTTATATTTTTGATATTTATTTTATATATTTAAATGCCATTTAACAAAGAAAAATCAACCAAAAAAATGAGTTCACGTGTCACCTCTGACATGCGTGTCATAGGTTCGCCATCACTGCTAGGTGCTCTGCTCTTGAGGGGAGGAAGGGTTTTACTGTAGAGCAAGAGATGGCGATTCTGCCCGAGGAGGAACGGGCCTGGGTGGCACCGGGGTGCTGGCTCCCTTCAGCCTGATGCTCCACCGTAGCTGCATGGTCAGATCAGACTCTCTGGGGTGCTACCTAAGTGCCAAACCTTTATTAAGTTCTCCAGGTGATGTCAACGTGCAGCAAAGCTGAGAATCTTTGTCTTGGGACAGAGTCTCATGAAGTGCTCCTCAGCATCGCCCGGAGGCAGGTGCAAGTTACAGAGGCCCGGGCCCCATCCTGAGCGTTGGATTCTGTGGCTCTGGGGTGGGACTCATTAACCCGATGCTGCTGTCCGATACTTTGAGAACGAATCTTGAAGAGCCTGGTTCTTCTTCTGTTTTTATTGGAGTTCAGCTGCGAGCGGGCGCAGAGGGAGGAGAGAAATCGGGTAGGAGAGAACAGATACCATCAGCCTCCCCTCTTTCCTTGCCCAACCGCGCTCAGAGCTGAAGGTGAACCGGCATACAGCTTTATTCTTAGTCTTTTTTTTTCTCCTTCACAGATTGAGAAAATAAAGGTTCTTCAGAGGTCATGTGAACGGTCCAGAGCTGATCAGACCAGATGTAACCATCCTGGTTTACTAGTAGCTGGCTCCTTGCCCACACAGGCCACCCTCTCCCCGCCTTGGCGCCCCACCTCCAGGAAACCCAGCTCAGTCTGTGAACCTCTCCTCCCCGCCTCCACCCCTGCGCGTCCTTACGTCCTTACGTCCTTACGTAGCCACGCAGGCAGCGTGCACCCGAGGATGTTCAAAGCGCGGCGAGCACGACGTTCAAAGCACACAGCGTACTGCGCAGGCGCGAGCGGCGAGGCGTTGCAGCCACCGTCATGGCCTGTGTCAACTCCGTGGTAAGTAGGCCCCGCCCGGTTTCTGGGCCTACAGTCTCCGTGCAGAGGGTGCCAGGTCCTGGGTTTATGGCGGTCGAACACTGCACACCCTCTTCCCTCCTGGCCTCACCCTTAGGGGCTCCCGCTGTTCCCGGTGTGGGAGGATGGAATGAGGGCAGGTAGCCCTGCCGGAAGTTGGGCTTGGCTCCCACCGGAAGAGCACGTGTCCCTTCTGTCCTCCTCACCCAAACGAGGGTGTCTAGAATGAGACCTTAGAAGGTGGTGAGATATGGAACTGACCTTAACCCTCCCCAGTTTCCTGTGTTTAGACATTTCCCGAGTTCAGTTGCACTCCGGTTGTAATTCTGAAGTTCGGTTATAGTTGATTCTAAGCTATATTATTTACGCAAAATCACAGGTAATATATTTCATGTTTCCCACCATGTATTTTCGAAGTTCTTCCCCGCCCTCTTTTCCCTAACTTTTAGCTTCTTGCTGCCTAACTGTACCATCAGCTCTCCCCTGAGGGGTTCCTAAGCCCCAGGATGAGAACTGACAGGTGAAGTGGCGCTTGTGGGACCCTCTGTCAATCTTAAAATCCCGAATTAAAGGGGGAAAAAAGAAAGCAATAACTCACTTTCATTTTCAGTGCATCTCCACAGACTTCACAGCTGGTGAGAGGCAGTGTGCTTGTCCAGATCTGTTGAGTTCCATGTATACATGCGCAGCACGAAAGTCAATTTTTAGAGAAATATTATTTTACTGTGTATCTATTTTCTGATGTTAATGAGTTTTAAGATATGTAAAATACTTATGCCTTAATATAAGCTTACCATGTATGCCATTTTATCTGATGATGTACTCCAAGGAGAGAGAAAGTGCTTGCCCGCGCGTGTGTTTCAAATAGAGAAGAAATTAAGGTAGATTTCCTGGACTATACATAGTTTTAGTAAAGGTAACAGAAGGAAAGAATATAAAATCTAACTGTAGTCCTAGAAGAGAAAGAAAGAAAGTATGTTTAATGCCCACTTTGCTTTTGAAAACCTGTGTTCTAATGGGTTATTTTTGATGGCTGCTATTACATTCTGAGGGCAGATTTTAAAGATGTTTTTAGCCTCAGGAGTTTTTTCCTTCAGCTTTAAATGCGATCACACTAGCTGGGACTAACATTTGAAGCATCAATTTAGAATGCCTTTATCAGGGGGGTAAACTGTTTAAGGAGAAGCAACTAATCTAGGGCACTTAATCTTAATGGATATCCTTATGAATAACATTATTTAAATGTAACTGATTGGCCTATTCATAGGTTTAGCCTGGATCTTTAGAAGCATTCGTTTAAAACCTGGCTACTCGTGGCACGAGTGGGAGTATTTCCTGGATAGTATGAAAAAGCAATTCTATAATGCCACAATTTTCATTTTGGCTTGATTATGCAATTTGAAACTCAACTAAATTCCTGTTTTGCCATTTCTTATTAGTGGGACTTTCACTAGGTCAACCTTGTTATTACACTTAGTATTGCCATTTTACATTGGGGTGAGAGTACAGCACAATTTACATAGATTTGTAGGACCAAGTTTGTTTCATAGGGCTGTTTTTCTATTAATAATGACCAGTGTTTAATCTGGGTAGAAATGTTTTTAATATTGTTATGGCATATGTTTTTTTTTTTTTAGGAAGTATTTTAGGGGTTGCTTAGTCTCTGCAATATGCAGGTTGTGGAAGGGTAAGGTTCTTTCATTTCTTGGTTCTGTTAGGCAGTCCATTTTGGTGCAGTTATATTTTTACTTGACAATGGTTCAGATATTTTTTTGGTCTATGTGTATTTTGGAAGTGGGTCAGGCTTTGGTTACTCTATTGTAAGTGTTTGTTCCAATCTTACGGCTTATTAGGAGTTTACTTGCATTTATGGAAATAAAACAGTGAATTCTAAAAAAAGCTCCTTTGGCCTCTTTGAGAAAAGGTAAATTAAAGACAGGTTCATTTCCACCTGCCTTAAATTAGTTTCCCTTTTAAAAAGGAGTAGGGAGATTAAATACTGACACAAAAGCCAGGTAACATAACAGTAACTATACATCCTGATGAGATTACCTATATACTAGAGGCCTGGTGCACAAAATTCATGCACGCAGGGGCGGGGGAGTCCCTTAGCCTGGCTTGCACCCTCTCACAGTCCAGGAGCCCTCGGGGATGTCCAACATCCTTAGAACTGCCATGGGGGCAGGAGAGACTCCCCCAACTGCCGCTGCACTCCCCAGGTATGAGCCTGGCTTCTGGGTGAGTGTGCTGGAGCTGTGCCTGCGGACTGGGAGAGGGACAAGCCGCACACCCCATGGTCCTGGGAGCCAGGGGCTGTGCCTGCGCCTTTGGCCTGGCCCAGGAGAGGAACAAGCTGCATGCCCCGCAGTCCCAGGCGCCAGTGGCTGCGTCTGTACCTGCAGCCTGGTAGAGGGATAAGCCGCCTGCCCCACAGTCCCGGGTGCCAGTGCCTGTGCCTGTGCCCTGGGAGAGGGACAAGCTGTCCACACTGTGGTCCTGAGCACCAGCAGCTGTGGCTGGTCCCCTGTGGCTGCAGCCAGCCCCAGCGAAGCTGGCCCAGGTTCTGGGTGCCTGCAGCTGGCCACGGGAGGGAATCCTGTGTCCTGGGTGTGGGGCGAAACAGAGGCGGTTAGGGGCGATCGGCCAGCAGGGGAACAGTTAGGGGCGATCGTGCAGGCAGGCAGGTGAGCAGTTAGAAGCCAGTAGTCCCGGATTGCGAGAGCCAGTCAGACATTCCCTGAGGGGTGCCGGATTGGAGAGGATGCAGGCTGGGCTGAGGGATCCCCACCCCTGTGCACAAATTTTGTACACCAGGCCTCTAGTATATTATCTAATAAAAGGGAAACATGCAAATTGACCGCACCTCCGCTACACACAAGCCACGCCCGCAAGCCAATCAGAGCGACTATATGCAAATTAACCCAACCAAGATGGCGGCTGGAAGCCACGGAGCTGGAGCAAGCAGGAGGCTTGGTTACCCCCGCGATGGAGGAAGCCAAGCTTCCCGCCTGCCCTGGCCGGCTGTGGCCTCTGCTTAAGGCAACAAAGTTTCAATTATAGAAGATAAATAAATCCCAGATAAATAAATAAAGTTTCAATTATAGAAGATAAATAAATCCCCGGGCTACTCCCTGGCTGCCTGCTGCTTCGCGCACTACTTTGTGCTGTGTGGGATTGACGCGGACAGTGGGCTGGAACCCCATGAGCTGGTGGGTAATGCCAGGCTGCAGCGGTGCTGAGGTCCACTGATCTCCGCAAGCCAGGCCGAGGGACCCCAACAGTAAATGAATCCGTGCACCGGGCCTCTAGTTATCTCATATTTTATTGTAGTCTTCTAACTCAGCCTTGTAAATATAGGCTGAGGCTATAGGTCTGAATGTAACACAATTTATGGCAAGCACAAATGCAGGCATACTGGAGGTAGGATGCACTTAGTTAAAATTCACATGGTAGTTTGTCTTTAGGAAGTGTACACTGCATGTCTTTTTGGAATACATTCAAACTCGAGAATTTAAGACTTTAACAATTGCTTTTGTGTAGCCTAAACTCTACAGATCTGTAATTGAAGATGTGATTGAAGGAGTACGGGATCTATTTGCTGAAGAAGGTATAGAGGAACATGTCTTAAAAGACTTAAAGCAGGTTTGTCAATACAAGTTTCTCTGTCTCATTGTTTTTCAGCTTATAAAACTGATAATTATAGTTTTAATCCCTTAATTATAGTTTAATACTTACCCATTCATTGTGCCATCAGCTGACATTTTAATTTTAAAAAGTAAAATAATAAATATTATAATGTTTTATTTTATTTGTTTAAAAGCAAAATTTTTTTTATCTGCAGCTCTGGGAAACAAAGATTTTGCAGTCTAAAGCAACAGAAGACTTCTTCAGAAATAGCTTCCATTCACCTCTGTTCACCCTTCAGTTGCCACACAGCTTGCACCAAACATTGCAATCATCAACAGGTTGGATACAGTTAGTAAATTAGTACCATTTGGATCTTTAGATCAAATTCTCATTTGGTGGTGGTTTTGAATTAGGGTAATGTTCTTAAGGTGAGAGGGTTCAGACCTCAAAATCATTACCATTAAGTGAACACAGTTACACCAAATAACTATTGACAAATAATCAGATTATTCAACTAATTTTTTTTTAAATATTAAAAGTCCACAAAGGTGACAAAACCTTACTTCAGAGGAACAAGTTATATAATTTGTGGCTGTCGGGAGTATGCTTTGGTTGTTTCAGAGAATTTGGTGAGTTCTAGTCAAGGAGTAATCCAGACACCTTTGCTGAAGAAGCAGAGGGATTGATGGGTGCTTGCATATCGCACTTGTGCATTCTTTCTCTTGGTTTCTGTATATATTATACATCTGTTAATGTATTGAAAGCAAAATGGAGAATTAATAAGAATATGGAGGTTATTCAGGCTACCTCACTCTTTTGGATATATATAGTGATGGCTAGAGATTTACCATATGCATTTAATCTTTATTCTTGGACTTGTTGAATCTAGACCTCTGCTTTTAAGAGAAATATTTGTCCATATTATGTATATCATTTTAAACTGGAAAAGACTACCTAATGAGAGATAAAACTATACTGTTATATCTTTCTAGCCCAGTGGTTCTCAACCTTGGCTGCACATTAGAATCATCTGGGAATCTTTTTAAAATCCTGATTTCTGGGCCTCATCTTCCAGAAATTCTGTTTCTTTGTTATGGGGTGGGGCCACAACACTAGTAACAAAGGAACAGAATTTCCGGAGGATGAGGCCCAGAAATCAGGATTTTAAAAAGATTCCCAGGTGAGTCTAATGTGCAGCCAAGGTTGAGAACCACTGTTCTAGCCTTTATTCCTTCTTTTCTTCTCTGATTCTTACAATATTTTATGTTACCCTAATGTGTGTGTGTGTTTCTAGCCATCTTTTTTTAAAAATATATTTTATTGATTTTTTACAGAGAGGAAGGGAGATAGAGAGTTAGAAACATCGATGAGAGAGACATCGATCAGCCGCCTCCTGCACACTACACTCCCCACTGGGGTTGTGCCCGCAACCCAGGTACATGCCCTTGACCGGAATCGAACCTGGGACCCCTCAGTCCGCAGGCCGACGCTCTATCCACTGAGCCAAACCGGTTTCGGCTAGCCATCTTTGTATATATCCAAAACGTTGATGTAGCCTGAATAATCTCCGTATTTTTGTTAATGCTCCATTTTCTGTGTGTGTGTCTCTGTGTAGACATATAAGTGTGTAAACATGTATACATGCACACACATGTATACATGTACTAGTAGATGTTTATACAAACACACAGATGCAGCTACACACACAAATAGGTTTAATTGAGTTTAGCTGAAATTCAGTAGATTAACATTTGTAAGAGATGATTTTGGATTAGATTTTCAGTAATAACTAGATTGTTCATTGCATACTGGGGAACATTCACATGAAAATCACATGTGCCAAGGTGAAGAGAAAAATAGTAAGAAGACTAGTACCTCATTTACAAAATGAGAGAATTTAAGTGTGGCAGCAATTATAACTTATTTAAAAAAATGAAGTTAACAATAGATAGTGAATTACCAAACAAATTTTATCTAATGCTGTTTTTATAAGGTATAACTCTTCTCTATAAGAATTAGCCATGGCAGTTTTAATTACTAAGTTGACACATCGAAACATTTTCCATCAGTGTTGGATTTTTGGTTATGTTTTTGTTTTTAGACAAAATTTATTTTGTTAGGACATCTTTTTATTTTTCTATTTAAAAACATCTTTTTGAATTTTTTCTTTATTAAAGAACTTTAGAGATTTTTACTTAGGGGTGGCTTGGAGGACGGCAGGTGTGAGAGGAATAAAATACTTGACTGTCTTTTATCAAAAGCATAGTTAACACTTCTCAGGTTTTTTGTTGTTCAATATTGCAATACTTGATTTTGCCACAAGATGGTAATATTCACAGTCATTTAAACCACAAAGTAATCTTGAAACTAATATATCTAGTTGGTTTTCACTCACCATTTTTATTATTCTCTGTCCTAGAAGTTAGAATAATAGAATCAATTATATTTAAATAAGACAGTTTTTCTCATTTCTTCTACATCATTTATAATCAAGTAGTTTAAGAGGGAGTATATATATCCTTTAAAAATGCATTTTGGGTCTTTTTTCTCTTCTTCATTTTTAGGTATCCTAAAAATAAGATTCTTAAAGCAAATAGCCTCATAAAACTGGTGTACTTCTTAATTATGTCTTTCCATTGTATATTTTTAAAAGCTTGATTAAAATAACAAACTAATTTCTACAACCTTTTTATCTCTTGATAACAAGTTCAGACTAATTCTACAATACAATAAATCTTTGCCTTTGTCTGTTTCACCCTTTTAAACTTGTTTTCCCTATTATAGTTTCTCACTGTATTATCCATTTATTTAAGAAATTCTTGCATCTTCAGTTGTCAACTTTTTGGGGGCATCTCAGGATTCCTTTACACTGTTAAAAATTGAGGACCTCAAAGAGCTTTTTTTTAAAGAAAATCCTTACTCAAGGATATGTTTATTGATAAGAGAGAGAAACATTGATGTGAGAGACAAACATGAGAGAGAGAGAGAGAGAGAGAGAAACATGATCCTACCAGGGATCAAACCTACACCCTTGGTATGTGCCCTGAACAGGAATTGAAGATGCAGCCTTTTTGGTGTATGGGATGCTGCTCCAATGAACTGAGTCACCCAGCCAGGGCTCAAAGAGCTTTCTTTTATATGGGTTTTAAGTATCTACTTACCATATTAGAAATTAAAGCTGATAAATTTAAAAATTATTGGTTTATTAATTTAAAAATCACCATATGTTGACATAAAAACATATTTGTTAAAATGAGTTAAATATATTTTATAAAACTATTTTTTTTCAGAACAAAAATATCGAGTGAGAAGAGTGGCATTGTATTAATTTCCTGCAAATTTTGTTATTGTCTGGATTAATAAAAGACAACTGGATTCTCATATCTATTTTTAGTTCAATCTGTTGTGCTATGTGGTTTTAGCTACAGTATATGAAGAAAATCTAGCCTCCCACAGATAGATAATTGGAAAGAAAGGAGTATTTTAATAGTATTTTCAGGTAATTTAATATTACACTAAAACTCAACAAGTGGTAGTTTCTGAGAGGTAGTGCAAGGTGGAATCTGAAACCATCAAGTGGACTTTTTGTAATGTTAAAGTGCGCTGGTGGACCTTGCACTTTGAATGACTCTTTAATCCATGTGTAATTTTGTAACGTATTTGGTTATTTGGAAAATATTGGGTCACTGAGTTGTGCAGTTGACACATCATTTGTTAAATAAGATTTTAAAAAATCATGTTCATTAATATCACCACATATCTTATTAAAAAAGTATTAGAAAGCTATCAAGCCCAGTGTGGTGGATATAAAGTTTCAAAATTTCATTTTTTACTTGAAAATGTGAATTTTATCATTACCAAACAGATATTATCAGTTTGCTTTCCTTGAAGTAGTGGGTGTACTTAGTTCATTTTCAAAAATATGTCTGCCAAATACCTAAATCTGAATAACCATAGGTTCTGTCAGTTCTTTTAATTTTTTTTATCTTCACCCAAAGATTTATTTTTATTGATTTTTAGAGAGAAATGGGATTCTGTTAGTAACCTCAGAATAACAGGTGTAAACTAGGACTGTTCTAGGCAAATTGGGACATGTAGTCACCTAATCTATTTCTAGGGCAATTTATGTCAGCTTCTGCTATTTGGTCTTTATATCACATGATCTTTTTCGTGAAGCCATTAGTCATTGTGGGAGTAGGTAAAGGAAGAACAGGATCAGAGAGAGGTTTGTGGTGGCTTTCATTATAAGTATTAAAACTCCTAAAGTTCAAGTATAAACTCTCTATCTAGTAGTTCTTGAACTTAGATCTGGTGAAAATTTTAGCAATGCTGTTGATTCTTGAGATAATTTGAGTTAGAATATTCAGTTTGGTTAACATATGGAGACATCCATATATTAATGAGTAGTCACAAAGAGGAAATTGACTAGTCTTTGCACTTCTTGATCACATGCCTTCGTTATTAAGATTTGGAATGATTCAAAGCAGGACTAGGAATTGTAAAATTATTAACTATCTTAATGTAGCAAAGACATTTTGGTGTATAAGGAAAAACGCACTTATAAATGTGAGTATTGTTATGCCATATTTTCTTTTTTTAAAAATATATTTCTTTATTGATTTCAGAAAGGAAGGAAGAGGGAGAGAGAGATAGAAACATCAGTGATGAGAGAGAATCATTGATCGGCTGCCTCCTGACTCCCCCCACTGGGGATCGAGCCCGCAACCCAGGCATGTGCCCTTGGCCAGAATCAAACCAGGGACCCTTCAGTCCGCAGGTCAATGCTCTATCCACGGAGCCAAACCAGCTAGGGCGCCATATTGTCTTTTTATAAAATTTCTTAAATTATGTTTGTGGATTGAATTCTTTCTAAAAGCACATTCTTTTGTGAAATTTAATATTTTAAAATATATACAGGAAGACCAAAATTCTGACACTTTTTTAACTAAAAACATGTATTCAGTTAAAACTTGGTTATCAAAACCATCTTGAATATTTTGAAAAGTGTGTTGCAGGAACAAAAATTTATATATAACATATATACATACACCAGTATATAATTTATGAACATATATAAATGGTGCATGTAACTTGTGAATTTAGTATCAAGCTTAAGTAGGAGCTGCATGAAACTTTACTATAAAATTCTGTTTGTTTATACTTTTATTCTGATGGCTATAAAGAAACTCTTAAAACTCTTACAGCTCTGTTTGATTTATATAACTATAGAGAATTACCCTTTAGGATTTATTGCAAGATCTTTAAAAGAGGAACATTGTTGCTATTTTTCCTTAGGAAATTAATTTAATTGCTTCAGACACTGTGTTAACAGATTTTTGTTTCCTCTCAGGCTGTGGCTTAGGCTGTACCAGCTTAAGCTTTGCTCACTTCAGCTAATTAAGACTAATACCATTGTTTTTCTGCCACCACAATTCTTCCTAATTTAGCCTTTTTAAAAGAATGCCTGTTAATAAGTGAAGTCATAGATGAATAGAGGATAAAAATAATTTTGTGCTTCATTAACCATCAATCTATGTAGCCTCATGTCTGTTGTCTTAATGTGGGAAGAATGGTTTAAAAAACATTTGCTCTTCTGAGTTTTTTGTTGTATATGATGGAACCATTCTAGTATCAGAAATAGATCTTGGGACAATTTTCCTTAATGTAGTATGTGAAAAAGGCCATATACATTTCATACCTTTGTGCTGCCTGAACATTCTGGTTTTTATTAAAGAAAAGGCAAAGTGATAATCTAACAGTCACATTCATCTAGGTAAAATGAACCTTGAGGTAAGGTTTAAGGTTACATTGATCAACTGAGATCCTTCTACTGGAATTACTATTTGTTTTTTAGACATATTTTTAAAATGATTACATTTACAGCCATTTACATTTGGCCAACCTTTTAGATACATTATAAATAATAAAGGGAAAGTTAGCATAGAAAATTGGTATATAATAAAGAAAAGATATGCGATATCAGCTTTAATACAGGTTGAGCTGGTATTTCCCCAAGAATTTGTTCTTATATATTTTTTAAGCAGGCATACCTGTTTTATGCAAAGATTTCAGGAGACATGGTCTTATTCATTTATTTCTACACCTGTGTAGCTGTGCTTGTCTTACTTGGCTAACGTACTGTAAATATTTTTTATAAAATGAATGAATTGAAAGCTCTTTTGAACCTGTAGAATTTAGGATAATTTGTATTGGATTATATATTTTTGCTCAATAGTACAATCTTTTGGAGATACGCACTTTAACAAATATTGCCTTTTCTCCTCTGTGAAATGTAATGGAGATTTAGTGCTACATTGACTTACTAAAGATAATCTAGGTATTTATTGTGGCTTTCTATAATATAGTATACTTTATTAAAATGAAAATTTTCTTTTGGTATTTAAAGTAGGTTAGTTGTAAAGTCATTAAAGTTGTTGGGAAAAATATAGTTAAATAGTTACCTCTTTGGGGTCAGGAAGTTTAGAATTCACCATGGTCAAACATGTTAGTAATGGAAACCAGTTTTAAAAAATAAGCTATACTTAGGAATTTTATTCATTTGGTAAACTCTAATGAATTGTATAATTATTTCATTTTCTATGCAGCTTCTTTAGTTATTTTTTTTTTTGAACTCTTCCCAGTCTTACCACAGCAGAACTGGTATGTAGCTTATTTAAGATATATTTTACCATTTAGTGAATGGTAGCAGAAAACTGGGCATAGATGTAATTCCTAATTCTCCAGGTGAATAGGAAAGGATGTGGTAAAGGATGGGAAACAGGAAAAATTTCTATAACAAAGATGTTGCGAAAACTCAGGATTTCCAGAGTGACATTTTCTTATCAACTTTTTCTATCTTCCAGAGAAGTTATTAGCATCTACCAAGACTACACCTTCAAGATTATAATATTTCTGAAGTTACATTGTATGGAGTTTTAATACACTGTATAATGTTATATACTTGATGGATTCTAAATAGATAATTTTGATACAGTACTTCTGATATTTTTCTCTTTGGAGTTGAGCCACATCATAGTCCCTTGGTTTAAGTGGAGCATTTTGGTCATTTTTTTTGCTTTTGTATAGTAGAAGTTAAAGTATAGATTCCCCACACATGATTTGAGGAAGAAAATAAAATTAAAACATGTATAGAAAATTGAGTAGTTTTCGGTGGGGAATAATAGCATGCTTTGTCTTTTACCTTTTTTCCGCGGTACTGATGGTATATACTCTAATAACTATTTTCATTTTCTTTCAGCCCATCAGCTACTGTTCTAGGGGAAATGGTTTAGTGGGCTATTTATTTCCATTTCCTCATAAAAAACAAACAAACTATACTGCTTCCAGGATATTTAGGAAGAATGGCACTGCTTTTGATAGGAGACTAATGAAGAAATGTCTCTGCCTTTGAAATTCATGAACATAACTTTTCTCCTGATTACAGAAAAAATATTCTTCTTGAAGTAAAAACAAATTTATAAAGTAAAAAGTGAAATAACTATGCAGTATTATGCCCAAAGATAACTGTTTTGTTTGATGTATACCCATCTAGACTTCTTTTATGAAAGTTATATTAGTTTTCAGGGGGTAAAAAGTAGGATCATTCTCTGTATCATTTTTATTACTTATTTTTTAAATTTAGTAATATAGAGGTATTTTTTTCAATGCCAGTTAAATATTGATTAGTCTTAGTGGGTACATCACAGTTTAATTAACCAGTCTTGTTGATGGATATATAAATTATGTTTAGTTTTGTTCTAACATAACATCCTATTGTTATATCTGTAGATATACCCTATCTTTGTGTATTTGTGTAGTAATCAGGTAATCAGGATAAATTCCTAGAAGTAGAATTTCTAGTTCAAAGATCATGCATGGTATATGAAAATTGCACTTTTCATATATATTGCAAAATAGTTCTCCAAAAGAATTATATCATATACACGCATATAAGCAGTGGCCTGAGAGAATTTCTATTTATTTATTTATTTATTTATTTACTAGAAGCCCGGTGCGCAAAAATTTGTGCACTGGTGGTGGGGGGGCAGGGCGAGAGGTGGGGTCCCTCAGTCTGGCCTGTGCCCTTGCATAGTCTGGGACCTCTCAGGGATGACCACCTGCTGGCTTAGGCCCACTCCCTGGGGGATTGGGCCTCAGATGGCAATAAGACATCCCTCTGACAGCCCGGCAGCCCTTGGGGGATGTCCACTTGCCAGTGGGGAGCAGGCCTAAAGTTTATTTCAAAACAAAAATTATTCACTATTGTATCACCTACTTTAAAATACCATTTGTGAACAACTTACAGACTAGAGGACTATACACAACTATGGTTCTTATATTTGACATCTTGAAGGTCAGTGGCCCAGATAAGACTATGTAGTGGGCAAGTTTTGAATTGGTGCTCATACTGTTAAGACTTAATGGATTTATTGCTAATAGCCATAGAACAGAATTCTTTTTATTTATAATGAGATTATTTGAATTAAATATAAAAAAAGTGTTTTTTAAAAGAGCTGAGATGTAATGTTAACTGTTGTCAAACTGTTATCCTGAATCAGATTTTTTGACCCTCTATGAGATCAGGAAGAAAAGATACAAGTAAAGCCCTTCTGTAACTTTCTAATATAAATATCTCATATCTAGAGCACCGCAAACTCCAGTGCACACTTTGCTTTTCCTGGTTATCCTATTCATGTACCAGCAGGTGTGACGCTACAGACTGCATCTGGTAAGAGTATAGTCTAAAAATGTTTTATTTTTAGCATTTGTATTGACTTGAGGATGATAATATTGATGATTAAACTTCATACCAGAAATTATAAGAAATTTTAATAAAACTTGCTTTAAGTGTAATGATAAATGATGGTTATTATTGTTATGGAGGCAATCTACCATGAAAGACACTGTACTAGGCCTGTCCTGTATTTCATACTCAATTCTCTTTCTCTACATTGTATAAGATACTTTATACTCCATATATGTTTTCTCCAATTCAAGTCAGTTATCTAAATTTCATGAACACAAAATAATATATCTGGCCCACGCTGGGTGGCTCCGTTGGTTGGAGTGTCATCCTGTACACCAGAAAGGTTGCAGGTTCAGTTCCCTGTCAGGGCACATATATAGGTTGTGGGTTTGACCCCAGATCAGGCCTGGAGGCAATTAATTGATGTTCCTCCCCCGCTACCCACCTCCATCTCCCCCTCAATCTTCTCCTCTCTCTCTCTCCCTCCCTCTCTCCCTCCCTCTCCCTCTCTTTCTCTCTCTAAAATCAATAAACATAGGTGAGGATTAAAATTAAAAAAAAACCATATCTGTGTCTCTGTTAGGTCTAATCAAGAAAAACTAAAGATTATATTGAGCAGCCTTTGTCTCCTTCTTATTGGAGATTGTATGGCATAATAGAAAGAATACCCAAAATGTTTAAATAATTCTTAACTTGAAAGAGAATTATATCTATTCTTTGGGTTGTTGTAAAGTTTAAGCAAAATACCCAACACAATGCTCAAAAAATAAATTTCGTCTTTTTAGTTTTATTTTAAAGGAAGAGAGGAGAAATTTGATAACTTTTGAAATTAATAAACTATTTTTGGGTAGCCTTCTCTTATAATTGTTATATGGTATCCTATATCTTAAATATATGAAATATATTTGCCATGATTATGTTTGTTAAAATCCCAATTTTGGGTTGGTAACACTGTAATTTATCAAACAATGGGAGAGGCTTGTGGTGTAAATATTGGTGGTTTATATGTATTTGAAAATGTGCCATATAAGCAATAGTGGGAAAAGGCTAGAGTTAAGCAAGACATATTTAATTTTTAAAAATGAGCAATACATATGTATTCTAGAAAATACAAAAAAAGCAAGCTCCTAGATAGCCACTAGAAAGCAACAGATAACCACTGTTAACATATTGATATATTTCGTCCCAGCCTGTTGTATTTTGAAGGAAATTAGGATTCTATTGTTCTTATAGTTTTGATATCTCCTTTTTAAGGTTACCTTTATAAAGTCAATGTTCCAATTGCGGTGACACAGACTTCTGGAAAAGCAAGTATTCTTCAGCATCCAATTCAGCAAGTATTTCAGCAGCTTGGGCAGCCTTCAATAATACAGACCAGTGTTCCACAGTTGAATCCATGTTCTCTTCAAGCAGCTATTGAAAAATCACAGAGAATGGAAACTGTGCTCCAGCAACCCACAATTCTTCACTCTGGGGCAATGGATAGGAAGCATTTAGAAACTGCCACCAGTGATATACTTGTACTTCCTGGAAATGAGCATAAAATCATGTCTGAAGCTTTGTTGAGTCAGCCAGCAAGCTCTCAGTATGTCAGCCTTCCTGGTGTTGGAGTTCCTCCACAGGTCTCTCAAAGAGATGCCAATGCGGAGCCATTGCTGAGTGTTTCAGCTGGTGGGACTCAAAATCTGCATGGTGGGCCCATCGCCACAGGCCCTCAGGGGGCTCAGCACCAGCACTCATCTGATGGTCAGCTTCATTTTCTTAAAAATAGGCTGTTGGGATGTGATTCTGTGAAGCAGCCAAGAAATACAGAGGAGCCCAGCAGCCTACCTGTCTCAGAGAAGGTATTAGGGGATAAGCAATGGCCAGTAATTAGACATTCTGAGTTTTTTAAAATGTAAGCTTCCTTAGAAGTATGTATGTTTCTTTAGAAAATTGTTTTTTAAGTTGTTTTTACTATAACTATTAGTTTTTGAAGTATTCATGCTCAGAATTTCTAAACTTTTAATTTCAATTAATAAATTAGAATATTTCTTTAAAGAAAATGCATTGTTTTAAGATAATCAGTTTTACCTCTCCCTTAACATGGTGAGAATTGTTTTTGTCTGCAGATAAAATGTAAAGGACCAAGAAATTCATTCTAGTAATTAAACAAGGATTTAGGGGAAATTCATTGTCATACTTAAAATACAAAAAAGGTCCAAAGTGGTTTTTCTCTTGCTCTACCTAATTTTCTTAAACTCCCATATGAAAATTTTCTCTATATGAGGAATTATCTTCTAGTAGATACTTTGTTCCTCTCTGCTTGCTAAAATACTAGTTAACATAATTTGTTTTGGAAATCAAACCACTGAAAAATAGTTTCTAATTAACTTTCCATATTGAAAATAGGTTTTGATTATTTTCAAGGAATTCATAGTGATGACAGAAAGATTCATGGGGAATTTTGGATGGTAAAATAAAAGATATCATCTTATCTTTTTACACATGTGAAATATGTCATAGATTACTCCACTTACCCAATTTTTAGTGACAGAGGACAAATAGTTAAAGGTTTGTGTTTCTAGCTAAAGGTTTGGTGGTCCTCTAGAACTGCTGTACAAGTCTTTACAAGTTAAGTGCCACCTTAACATTTTCATAGGTAGAAGGGGAAGGCTATAGCGTACAGTAAAGGATAATCAACAAAGAAAAAGACTATAAGAAACCATTTGACCTGTTTTAGAATGTTTCAGGTGTTTGATGAAGCCTGTTCAAATTTTTTTAGCAAGTCTGTTTCTAGTTTAGTTTTGGCATAAAGTATTAAGATTAAAGTGTTTTTCAACTATTTATTATATTTTCCAAATACTATAAAAATTTAAGAAATGTAGGCTAAACTCATAATTATGAAGCAGTGTTTGTTTCCATCACTTACAATTTTTAGAGGTATTTTTCTCCTGGACTCTGGATGAACTTTGCAGATTTCTGGTGTGATGATTCAAGGACTTAGTCTACTGTTACTTATTAGATATTACCTTGTACTTTGTTCTGGGGAAATAGATTAGTTAAGGGAGCTTAATCAAGGATTGTTTAGGGGATAGTGGTCGAGAACTTAAGCTTTGGAGTCACAATAGGTTTAAATTCCAGATTCACCACTTTTATCTTTTTGAACTGGGTATAAAACCAACCTCATACTTTTAGGATTATCAGAGATGATGTATGTAGAGTTTTTAAATAGCTTCTGGTGCCATATTAAGCTTTATAGTAGTGCTATTATGCTTTACTAGAGGCCTGGTGCACAAAATTCTTGCACTGCAGGGGGCGTCTCAGGTGGCTTGTTCTCTCTCGCAGTCTGGGAGCCCTCGGGGGATGTCCTACTGCCAGCAGTCAGACATCCTTAGTGCTGCCATGGAGGCGGGAGAGGCTCCCACCACTGCTGCAGCGCTTGTCAACCGTGAGCACGGCTTTTGGCTGAGGAGCCCTCCCCCTGTGGGAGCACACTGACCACCAGGGGGCAGATGCTCAATGCAGGAGCTGCCCCCTGGTGGTCAGTACGCATCATAGTGACCGGTCATTCCGCCATTCGGTTGATTTACATATTAGCCTTTTATTATATAGAATGGGCATGTGGTATATTGGGTAACTTTTCATATAACTTGTTGGTTTAGTATTAAAATAGATCTGTATTTAAAACACAGTCCAAACATTCAAACATTTACTTTATTATTTTTTTAAATTTACTGTCAGATTTCTTTAAAATAGTTCTTAATCTGGTGAAGTTTATGCTAATTTAATTTTCAAAAAATTTATAAATAGCTTTTTTTTATAAGTAGCTTTTCAGAAATTCTTATTGCAAGTTAAAATTAGCTGTAATTGTTTACTTTTCTTGAATAGACTGCCAGAGATCTTACTTTTCTATGTAAATTTAACATTCATACTGTTTCATACATATATTCCTGACAATTTTTGATGAGTTCCTATTTTAAAATCTATGTTATTATTACTATGTTAAGTTTTTCCTCAGCGTAGGACTTTTGTTTTCTAATCTTATAATGCCATGGAGAACTATGGAGCTATAATGCCATGAAACTCAGGTCTTTATTAGAACTCCAAAAAGTAGGATTAGGAGAGAAATGGTATGGTAGTGTATCTTCTTTAATTCCTTTTTATCTCTTGCCTTTCCTTCTCAAACATTCTCATTGCCCCAAGTTCAAATACTGTTTAATGAT